AAAGGATTCAGTCAGAAACACTCATTAGTATGTAACAGTAAAACAACAGCTGAATGACAGCTGAGTTATTTCCCTTCCATAAAATACCAACATATCTACTCCAACTGCCCCCAAAAAGCTACATTTGAAAACTTTTAACAAGATACCGTGAAGCTGAAAAGGTAAATCTTTCAAATGTTGGAAATTTAACATCAGGGAGCTCTAATTCTGTTTGAATTTAATAATCTGCATGCACATATCACGGCACAAGGCCCTCTGCTTCGGGGATCACCCGGGCCACAGGAAGTACAAAGATCTCCATTAACTGTCCTATCCCACACTGCTCTGCACAGAATAAAGTAGTTGTGGTGTGTGGCCCTACTCTTAGATGTACTGATTTTTTTGTATTGTGCAGTGGCTTGTAGAACAAACAAAAAAGGCACGGGAAGATCAAGCCAACAATAGCAGCTCTCTTCACTTGGTTACTGAACACTTAATAGAAGGGCTGCCTCGAGTGCACCGCTTTCAAAACAGATGTTTTATGTGTTGAGATCACTTTACAAGCATTATCAATGATGACCCTCAGCATATTTGTATAGAGGAAGATGTTCAAACATTATTATAGTGCTGGTGGAGAAACAGTGTGAATCATCTTATCTGCCGGCTCATTCCACAGATCTGGCCCCAGTGTAACTAGCCCAAATCCACAAATGAGGTAAGTGGTTAACCCACTGCCACCTGAGACCGATATTTTGTCCTGAGGGGTTTCATTTCTGTGCCTTCTCCTCCACCAAATGCACTAGTTCCAAATGCATTAAGCAGTCTTTTATTTTGTCTGTGTTCACAGGGCTAAAAACTCCCTTTCAAATGATTCTAGCTGGTTACATTCATTAATGTAAAAATGGTTTTACTGAAAGGAACGAACAAAGCAGGAGGGGAAAAAAAACCCCACACAATTAAAAACAAACAAAACAAAAAAGTCTCAAGTTGTTCTATTCTTTGTGTGTTTGCTTTTAGACAGCAAGAGCCGGGACAGTATCCTTGGGTGACTCCAGCTAAATAGAGTTCATGTGGACTATCCTTCTAGAAGAAACTGCAACAGAAACCAGAAACTAAATCCTCACTTGCTACAAGCAAGCTCCCTCACACACACCCAACCCTCAGCTCAGGTTAGAAGGGGTCCCAAGTAACTGTCTCAGGGCCTGGATGATGCCAGGAGCACAGTCCTTGCATCAGCACAGATCAGCTTACATGCTCTGTATGCTCTGAGGATCCGTGTTCACCAAAGACACCTCCCCACCACTAGAATCCACAAAAGTAAAAGATCAAAGTCCTCATGGAGGAGACAACCCCAGAACAATCAGCACTATATAATCAGTACTAATACAAAACATTTGCCTTTTTGCTTGAGGTTCCTTCGTGTGGAGATACACTGGTAGTGCTTAGCTTGGGATTTGCAGAACTGCCTTGTGTATCCACCACCTCCATCTTCATTGTTTTTCTGGGCACAAGCTCTGCATCATCATTCTCACAGGAGTCCTCATGTGGCATCTTGTGGGTTTCTGTTTTCTCTTCCACTTCTGTAACAGTTTTCCCTGACTCTTCCGCAAATTGCACCGTGTAGGGGTAAAGATTATTCACAATATGCAGAACTTGGCCTGGCTTCATTTTCACCACTTCATCCTTGCCAATATTCACAAGATCAACACTACTTGGGTTGACCCCTATCTTTGGTAGACAGAAAAAGGAAAAAACAGTAGCAAATGATGTTTTAAGTGGAATCGCCAGCTTCCGCCCCATTCTCCTGGAATACCACTCACTATCCTGGAAAGCAAATCCATTTCATATTCACTGCCCCCCCTGCCCACATCAGCCCGCTCTAGAGGACCAGGGAAGTCCAGCTGTCTATGGCCAGTCTTACACTCACAGCTGTCAGCACACAGCCTCAGGGACGTGGTGTCACAGGGAGCCCTCAGGTCTGCAAAGGTGACAACAGAGTTACAGCACGACTCACGCCACATATCCCACAGCAGCAACTATTTCTGAGCAGTGACAGTGGTTTTAACAAATTATTTTAGTCCAATCACACGTGGTGTGGGCAACCCACAGTGACTGCCTGATAGATGGATTTTGCCCCATTGTGAGGGTGACCCTAGGAAAACTGGGACTCTTCAGAAAAATGCTTTTGGTAAATGTTTATGCCTGAAACACGCTTTGGGAAACCAGCTTCCTCCTGTGACTGTTAAATTCTGTCACAAAGAATTTCTATAGCTTCGTCACAGCAGTGCCTGCTTGCTTCACAAGACTGGTGCTGGGCCTTGTAAGTGTGAGGGAGTGGCCCTGCACCCATCCAGCTGGTAACATGAGAATGCCTTCAGTGCTATCTCACATCCATCCTACCCCTTCTCAGAAGTAACCACGTCTTTGGCTCTTATCAGCCATCAAAACAAAACTGTGTGGTTCCACCAACACAAGAATTTCAACCTCAACTGAAGAGCTGCCTCAGCTTGAGAAATTTAAGGCTCAGGAGGCAGATAAGCAAGTTTAGGGGAAGGACTCCAAAATCTCCCAAATGCAGCACCTGGAAGAACTCATGCAGGATTCACAGTAGCATTCCCTGATGCTGCAAGTCTGTCTGTCTTTAGACTGGCACATATTTGGAAGGAATAGTGCAGTCTGTCACTGAGGTGCACAAAGAAAAAGATCACTTATGAGGACCACTTGCTGTGTTCTCCTTTGGTGATAAACCAGCTCCAGGTCCTTCAGATGCAGTGATCAGTGATCAGAATCATCAGCTGGAGCATTTGTGGAGTTAAGTACAACAATCATCCCAGTAAGTATCATAAATATTGTATAATCCACGCATAAAGACATACCTGCTTAACTGTGACATATCCCTTGTTATAATCTGCTTTTAACTGAACTGGCAAAAGAGAAAGAACAAAGTGTCACAAAACAGTGTAAATAAAAAAAACTCTGATGAACCCCCCAGTGCAGAAAATACTCCTCTATTTGAAGGACTGCTTCCTTCTGAAGCTGACTGCTGTGAATGTACGCAAAGAGCACTTCTGCCTCATCTCCTCCCAGAACCACAGGCAAAACAGAACCAGCCCAAGCACAGAGCCACACCATGACCAGCAAAATTACTTCAGAAGAAAGTGGAATGTTTGGAGGTCTTCTACATGTTCTTACCAGCTCTCTGTGACAATAAGGCATGCAGCAGGACTGTGTCCAGAGGGACGAAAAATAAGGCAGGGAAGATCTGCCGTATTTTACACATCACAGGTACTTTCATATATTCTCCAAAAGCATGTTATTTTATGTATAGAATAACAAGTCATACCAAAAATCAGCTGTTGGAGTACTAGGCAGAAGTGCCACTCACAAATCAGGGCAGTGGAACACAACAGTGGGCCTGGGAACTCACGCTGAGATTCAGTGCTTTAGTTTATGAAGGTGAACGTCCTGTCTTTGGGTGTCTCTGATTTTTCAGGACCCAGAGATCTCCCTAAGTGCTTACTGAAAAAGCTTGATGACTTCAAGAACCAGGCAACCCTACAGACCACACAGAGGAAGGAGGTAAGTTCAGTTGCTGCTGCATGTGGAAAGCAGGATTTGGGCTAAGCCGCCTTACCTTGCTGCCGTGAACACTTCTTATCCGTTATCCCAGTCTCTGGGCCACGCCCAATTACCACTGCTTGCAAGTGTGGCAGTTTCACTCGCTGACTGCGTTTCTCCTTCCCCACGAGCCAGCACACACGCATGGCTGTGCTACAGAGCAAAATAAACAGTGTGTTACCAACACACCACTTCCCTAGAGGCCACCTTCCCGTGGAGCAGAGTCCAGGAATTTTGCTGCCAGCCCATCCATTAGCTGAGCCAGTTCTGCTAAATGGGTTCATGCTTCTGAAATTCAAGGCAAAGCACGGCATTAACACTCACATAACCTAAGAGCAGGAAGCTGTTGAAAGGGCAATGCTGTTTTCCTTCCTACGTTACCATACGTTCTCAAAACCATGGATCACATATAGGAAAAATCAATTGGATTGACGGTCCCATCCGACAGAAAAGCCTACCTACAAAGAAAGTGATTTGTTTCCCTCTGAATCAGAGTTGATTCAAGAGACTAACTTAAGCGCTAAAACAAAGAGAGCAGCAGAGAGGACGAGAGAGGGGGGATAGCTTCATCCAGCAACAGTCAGCACATGGATCATGCTATGAAACCCTCAGGTTTACGCTCATTTGATCCTGGACAGCAAAGATCCCTCACCCACCCCCTGCCCGGTGCTCGGCGTTGAGCGCTCCTCCTCCCAACTCTGTGGTGAGCCCACGCCGGCGGAAAGCAAGGCTCGGTCCCCAGTGCAGCACCGGCACTGTCACCACCCCCACCCCTCCCCATCCTCACGGTCCCCATCCCCTTGGCAACTACAGGCCCCGTTTCCATGGCAACCCCGGGTCGCACCCCCACCCCACCCCGCCCCCTTACCGCGCGCGCCTGCTGCCAATCGCCTGCTGCAGCGCGGCCCCCACGTGACCAGGCGGTGGCTGCCGCCGCGGCTCGTGGCGCGGCGCAGGCGCACCGAGCCCGCGCGCTCAAGGGGTGGACGCCGGGCCCTGGCGCAGGCGCAGTGGCGCGGAGCGGGCCGGGCCGCCGACAGGCCTGTGCGGCGGCGAGGCCAGACCCGCGTAGGACGGGGGCAGGGAAGGGGCGCGGAGCGGTGCCGGGAGGGCGGAGGAAGGGCTGACGCTGCTAGCCGGTGCCGCTCTGTGCCTTCCCTGAGGGGGGCGAGGCCCGACCGGCGCGCAGGCGCGACGCGATGCGCACGCGGGGCAGGGCGGGAGTCACCGCCCGCGCGGGGCGGGGCGGGGCCCGCGCGCGTTGTGGGCGGTGAGAGCGGGCGCTGATTGGCCAGCCGCGCTCCCCTCCTCAGCAGCCATTGGCGGGCCGCCCGCCCAGGCCCGGCGAGCTGCGGGGGCGGGACTTCCGGGGCGGGGCGGGGCGGGGCTGTGCGAAGAGCGGCGGGGCTGCGGGACCGGCCCGAACTTTCCAGAAGAGTCGGGAGCGGCGCCGCCAAGTGCGGGATCTCCGCCAGCAGCCCCGGTCGCCCCCCGCCGCCCCCCGCCGCCGCCATGGTGAAGGAGACCACCTACTACGACGTGCTGGGCGTGAAGCCCAACGCGTCCGCCGAGGAGCTGAAGAAGGCCTACCGCAAGCTCGCGCTCAAGTACCACCCGGACAAGAACCCCAATGAGGGCGAGAAGGTCGGGGCGGGGCGGGACAGGGCGGAGGGAGCGGGGCGGGGGTCCCGCCGGGGGGGCCCGCAGATGTCCGAGTGCCCGTGTCTTTCGCGCAGTTCAAGCAGATCTCCCAAGCCTACGAGGTGCTGTCGGACCCGAAGAAGAGGGAACTGTATGACAAAGGAGGCGAGCAGGCCATCAAGGAGGGCGGCTCCGGGGGCGGCTTCGGGTCCCCCATGGACATATTCGATATGTTCTTCGGCGGCGGAGGGAGGATGCAGCGAGAGAGACGAGGTAAGGTGCCGGCTCTCCGACAGTTTCTCAGGGTGCCCGCGGTGGCAGACAAATCAGAGTCTGCCATGAGAGTGCCCTGGATGTAAGAATTGAAAGAGAGTTAAAGGGAAGTTACAGACTTAATCTCAAAATCGAAGAAAACTGTTGTCCCTTAATGCCTGAGACTACAGGGGAGAGAGGACATTTGTCTCCTGTGGTGTTAGTTTGGTTTGCCGTCCCCTGTCAATCGCTAACCAGGTGTCATTGTGTTTGGGCAGCCTTTACCAGAGTGTAAGCCCAGCTGTCAATAGGCCAAATAGAAAATATAAGGGTTAAGTAGCTTAACGTGATTTGTTAGCCCTGATACTGTAAGTGTAGTGCTTAAATGTGAATTTCGTGTTTAATTGCAAGCAGCTGCCTCTGAATAAGGTATCAGAGTCAAATTCAGTCTGTGAAACCTTTTGTCTTCTTGCGCTGTTCAGTGGAGTTAAGTTGAAGCTGCACTAAAATGCTGTTCAGCAGTTAAGCTCCAGATTAATTACACTGGGAAAAATTCTAAACTGGTTAAGAGCAGTGTTGACCCCATCACCTCTTGGTGCAGATTTGGTGACAAAGGGAAGAAAAAAGAATTTGTATGAAAGTGTTATAGTGTTGTAGCAAAATACTCCTAGTAAGCCAGAGCTAAACTAAGCCTGCAGCACCTAAAGTTCTAAGGAATTCCTGAGTGCAAAAATGTAATTGCTTAATTCTGTTTCCAGAAAGTCCCCTGGTGAGAGGAAAAAGTGCTGGAGTACAGATTCCAGGCAGTGTCTCCCACTTCCTTATAGGACATATGCTCAGTGACCTTATTAAAACTGAGTCCTTCGTTATATAAGTTAAATGGCTGAGGTTCTGTATATTTTGTTTCTGTTACTGTCTTTGCTTTCACAGAAAGTCTCTTCTAAGGGCAAAGCCATTAGAATTGTTACCTAATTTGAAATCAGATGGGAAGGGGCTATTGACTAATGCCAGCAAAACAAGACAAAGTTCTATTGAAACAAAATGTTAAAACCCAAAGACCGTGTCGTGACTTGAGCATGGAGACATGGGAAGCTGGAGACCAAGCTTACAGACTTAAATATCTGTTTTCTTTTGCAGGTAAAAACGTGGTCCACCAGCTGTCAGTAAGTTTAGAAGATATGTACAATGGTGCGATGAGGAAACTTGCACTGCAGAAAAACGTTATCTGTGACAAATGTGAAGGTAACTGTGAAACTGAAACTAAACATAAGTTGCTTTTAAAGTTATCGGCGTGGGGTTTTTTTCTGGCAGCACATAACGGTCTGTCTTCAAATTTCATTGTCAGGTCGTGGTGGCAAGAAGGGGGCAGTAGAATGCTGCCCTAATTGCAGGGGATCAGGCATGCAGATCAGAATTCACCAGATCGGGCCAGGAATGGTGCAGCAAATCCAGTCTGTGTGCATGGAGTGTCAGGGGCACGGAGAGCGTATCAGCCCCAAGGACCGGTGTAAGAGCTGCAATGGCAGGAAAATTGTTAGAGAGAAGAAGATCCTAGAAGTGCACATTGACAAAGGTGAGGTGTCTTACTAAGGTGAAGTATTGAACTTGGATGTACTGACTGACTTTGCAGCTCTAAAACAGAAGCTTTAGAAAATACATGGTGTTTATTTGGTAACACTGATGAATACACATACAGTAAAGTTGCCTGTTGCTGTCTTTTTTGAAGTGGGAGACTTTTTTCTAGGAAAGGTTGACTACTTCTATGTTCCCTTCTAAAACCTGTGCACATAACTAAGAATGAATTTTAGAACCTGTACTATTGTAAGAGATGAATTATTGATGAGCTCACTGCAAGCACAGTTCATAGTCAGGAAGCCTAACCAGGTTTCACTGCCTGTAGGGAAACCCCGCAGACTCCGATCACTTCTGCTGTGTTTCAGTGTGAAGGGGAACCAGGTCTGCTACAGTAACAGGGCACTGAGACAGTGCTAAGCCTCTTGTGCTTAGCGTTCTGGTGGCTGCACAACCCTGACAGTGCTGCTCAGTGTAGGTACTCCTTCCCTGCCTGGCAAAATGCAGCTCCACACACAGACCCTCACAGTGGTGGGTGAACGTGGCAGTATTGGATGGCAGATGCACCTCTATTGAGGGGGCTGCTCTAAAGCTGGTGGGAGAAGTCTCTGGAGTAGTCTAGCTTCTAAGACAGAGCAAGCTTACAACACGTGGCTTCTACAGGCTTGCTCCTGATTATCAGCTGCAACTGCTGTATGTGTAAGCATAGCTTGTGCAATGCTGAATTTGTTTTTAACAAGGAAAATCGTACAATAATAGTAAATATGAGGACTAAGAGGGATATAATACTGATATTTTGAACAGGAAAATCTCTGAGAAGAGTGTCTTTTCCCTTCTAGAAAAATAGGCTTATTTAGCATTAGGAAGCTAGAAGTTTTGGTAGACACACTTTTTTGTGGGTGAAAGGAGTGTCTGACACGAGGGTTACAGTCCACTTGAAGTGCTTCTTCGACTTGGCAGGCACTGAGATGATGTTTCATAAGGGGATGTGCCACGTATTTCTAAAACTGAAGTAACTTATTGGTCACTTGCTCTCAAAATGGAGTTTGTACACAGTGTTGGTGTTTTATTTTTAGTACCTGTGTGTATAATGAAAATTTTATGGTATTCCCCTTAAAGAGTTTTATCTTGGTGGTTGTTTTGACAGTACAATTAAGCTTAGTGACCTTTAGCCATAATATTGATTCAGATTAGCCAACACTAAGGTTGGACACGTGAGTGGATTAAAAACAAAAAGAATTCTTCAAGGGAAGATCCTGATGTTCTTGTTTAAAGATCCAGAGATTGCTTGATACCAGCTTCTGTCTATAAAAGTATTTCTTGTTGGTGCTTTTCACTTAAAAATAAGGAAAATGTTTATTTCTTTTCTGCAATAGGAATGAAGGATGGTCAGAAAATAACATTCCATGGTGAAGGGGACCAAGAGCCAGGTCTGGAGCCAGGGGATATTATTATTGTACTGGATCAAAAAGACCACTCTGTATTTACAAGGTAAAAACTCTTGAATCCTCTTGTGTTAACTTCTGGTACCTACTGGAGTGTCAGTGGATATGATCATGTGACTGGAACTCACTGAGTTTGTTTGGGTGGCCAGAGGAGCACCGAGGTGCAGGAATTCTGGTGCAAATAGTCTCAACCACACTTGTGTTCTAATAGCATGAGAGAATTGTTTGTGAGCTTTGGCAGAGTAAGGAGATAGAAGGCAAACAGAACCAGTTATAGTAATTAAGACTTTACAGGTCTTTAATTTTAAGAACTCTTAAAATACTGAGATTTTGTGTGGTAGATTTGAGTATTTGTGACTCTTTCCTTGATCCCTTTGGGATGGTATTCTATTACTTAGCTCAGAAAATTACCGTTTCCTATAGGCAGCTGTTTATTGTCTGCTTGGCCTCAAGGCACGGAAAACTTGTGGTGTGTTCACGTTTGTTTGGGGATCTTACTTATGACAAACTCAGTGTAGCCTGCACCCTTCTGATCAAAGGTAGTTTCCCTCAATTCATTTCCTGCCTGAGTGCTGTGGGCAGGGTAGTTGGTCCTGCCTGTTTTTTTATTGTGAATGCAGAAGTGACTCAAGCAGCACTGACCACATCTCAGCTGTTTCACGTTCCCGGACAGTCCTGCTCAGTGCTGCACACCTCGCTCTTTCAGGTTACTGTTTGTGGAATTGGTCTGTGCAGTACATTTTGGCCCAGTTAAAAGCACTGCTGATCATCTCGCAGAAATACGTTGTACTTGATGTCGTGCTGCTTCTGTTCAGAGCAGTTAAAAGGGAATCAGTCGATTTAGACAAAGCATTTATTTGTTTCAGCACCGACCACTGACCTTGTAAATAGGAACAGTGAGCCAAAGGTTCTTGGGAAACCTGCGGCTGGCCTGCCTGACTATTTTGCATGGTGCTGAGCTCTTGAAGCTGGTGCCAGAATTCTGTGCCAAAGAACACTGAGCTCACAGGTTAAGAATCAGTTCTGTTTGCTTTGGATAAGCTTACTCAGCTGATTTTTCTTAACTTCCAGTGAAACCAGACACTGAATCAGATGTGCCGAACTGTTCTCATGGTTTCCTGGGTCTTGAAGTCAGAATTTTGCTAGATTATTTATGTCCATCTTTCTGCCCACTGCCTTCAGTTCTAGTGTCCTTAGATAACCCTTGATATTACTGGTTTTGTGGGGTTATGCTGAGGTCATGCTCTCCTGCAAGTGGGATGTTCCTCCTCTCCTGTCAGGAGTCTAAAATTAGAATTAGCTTTTCGTGCAAGTCTCCTTCCAGAGACCTTTCAAAACCAGGGTAAGTGCTACGAGTTCTTTGAATAGGCTGGACGATTTTGTAGCTTCTGAACATGTAAACTTCACTAGCACTGCCATACTGAAGCCACAACAGGCAGTAGTTAAAGGAATTCACACGATCTATTCCAGGTACTGCTTGGTGCTTTCTAAAAGGTACTTACATCATTACCCAGGGACCATCACCGTTTCAAACTTCCCTAGTAACAGATCTTCAAGAGTGAGTGTAACATGTTAACATAGAGTAAGGTGGTGCAATTAAGAAAATGAAGGTAGGGATTAATTGTTGCAGGGTTTATGAGGCTGAGAGATCATTTTTTTCTTTAGAATTGGAAAGGAACAGGGGAGTGAAACTGGATGCAAGTGAGCCTTGCTGTATGTATTTCTTTTCAATAAACACTTCTACACTTCAGTTAGCTTCATGTGATCAGTAATGGCTCTCAGTGTGGGTATCATTCCAGTAATTACTGGCTTGAAATGCTACATCAGTATTTGGTATTCTTTAAGTGCCTGACCTTCTATTAACGGTACAGCTTATTGTCATTTCCAACTTAAATACCGAGATTGGGTATGATCCTTTTGCTGTTTCTGCCTCTCTGTGACTGTCTTTTGATTGGTTCTGCCCTAGACGAGATGAAGATCTTCTTCTGGCTATGGATATTCAACTGGTGGAAGCACTCTGTGGCTTTCAAAAGCCTATCACAACGCTGGATAACAGAACTATCATTATTACCTCCCATCCTGGTAAGAGTTGCTTTACTTTCTGTTGGAAGTCCTAGCACAACGTGAATGTAAGCTGGAAACGAAAGGAACAGAAACATCCAGCTTAGATGTACAAGGGATGTATGCTGGTATCAAGCTCTTTTCCCTAGTCTTTGCAGTACAAATCATAAAATAAAAAAGGGAGTTTTGGAAAGCAGTCAGCAGTAACTTTTTCTTTGCATGACATAGTAACAGACCTTACCTCATGGACATACTTGTATCCTGAGGATACCTTATGAGAATTGAAGGGCGTGGGTCTCTGAAAACCACTTTTTCGGCCTTGCAAGTGATGGAACACTTAATAAATTTGTAAGTATGTTTCCTTTGGGAAGCATAACAAGGTTACAGGATTTAATTTAGTATCAACCTCCTTTCCTACTCAGATATGATAGAAACCTACATAAATATTAAAGGGACTTAAAACTAAAGCTGCTTCTGTTGCCTGTATGTATCTCTTCCCTTTTTTTGTGTGTGTGATCTTTTTGTTTTGCTTTGTTTTTAGGCCAGGTAGTTGAGCATGGGGCTATTAAGTGTGTGTTGAATGAAGGTATGCCAATTTATCGCAGACCATACGAAAAAGGACGTCTGATCATAGAATTCAGGGTAAGTGGGTCAACTCACTTCCATGGCGTAGTTCAGGACTAGAATATCTATCCAAAATTTAACCTCTAAGCATTACCTCAATCAAGAAGAGATACCAGTAATCAGATGTTCTGTTTTGGTGTTTGTATTTTACAATGAGTGAGAACATGTAATCCATCAAACAGAATTACAGTTCAGAACAAAGAGAGAACTTCCTGCACACTCTATGCTGAAAGTACCAGAGGAATTTCTTCAGTGACCTTGTGAATTTCCTTTTGTTTCACATATTCTTTAGGAAGGATGGATGAGTAACTTCAACTTCTGTGCTGGAGCAGAAGAGTAGGCTGGAAAATGATGATTTCTTCGCTGGGGAGAAGCTAATGCTGAGAGCTGTAGCAGCAGGCTCTGTCTGCTATGGCTTAGAAGATATTTAACCATATCTGTAATGTTAACATTTTGTGTTTATATATACAAATATATAGTTTTATGTGTTATTATATGTATTTTATATATACTCTGTTTCTAGGCTGATTCCAGAGGGCAGCCTGAGGCAGAAGAAATGTATTGGTTGAGTTGCCAGAGTTAGAAACTAACTTCATGCAGGCATTAAGAAATAGCTTAGTGATGTTGATAATTTCTTTAAGCTCTGGATTTAAGTGATCTGTGATGATAAAGCTGACTTTGGCAGATGTTTGACCTGTATGTAGGAGCGATGGTAAAAGACCAGTTCGGACAGACTTGAGTAACCCCAGTTCTTGATGATTTCAGGTCAACTTCCCAGAGAGTGGCTTCCTCTCCTCAGATAAGCTGTCTTTACTCGAAAAACTGCTACCTACAAGGCAGGAAATAGAAGAAACCGAGGAAATGGAACAGGTGGATTTAGTGGACTTTGATCCATCTCAAAAGAGGAAACACCACTATAATGGAGAAGTGTATGAAGATGATGAGCATCAGCCTAAAGGTGGTGTTCAGTGCCAGACATCGTAAATGGGCCAGTGAATAACTTGTGATGCTTGTTTTGTATGCAGTAGTGGATGAGTGAAGGACTACAGACAGTTCACCCTCACCTCCTGCTATATGTTGTTCTATCCAGCCATAGTTATTTCTAAAAGCATAAAGGAATAAACGAAATAATTAAACTGACTTTGCAATTTGTATAAAGCTCCAGGATGCAAGCTCCAATGAAGTTGATTGCACTTCACTCCTGACTCTTGGTCCAGAAAACTCCCTTACCTGCTTGTCTTTTCTTCCAAACCTTGTAATTCCTGTATGTGTGCAATTGCCCAGGCTTAAACTTTAAGATTCTGTGGTGTGCTTTTTAGGAATTTTAGATCTTATACTCTGTGAATAAAGTATGCACAAGTACTTACAACCCATGGTAAGACGTAGTTAAGTTTTGTACCAATTAGGATAACAATGTTTTGGGCTTAAACTGTTGTTTGTTAAATGGGCACTGGCTCTAATGCAGCCGTGTGATACATGAAGCTGACGTGGATGTGGTCAGTCTCCACAGCCCCAGTGAAGCCATGTGATCCACAAGCTCTCCACAGCTATTGCACTTAAGGTCAGATAGTCCCTTCCTGTGCCAGCACTAGTCCTGACCCCAGAGCTCGATGTGGAGCTTGCTTTGCTTCACCAGTGACTCCTGTTTTTGGCTGCTGTCCTGCACCACACTGCCTCTAGAGCCAGCGCTTGCTTGGAGCTTCCTTCGCTACTGCGAATTAGTGAACATCTCTAGGCTTTATCAGCACACATGTGGCTTGGGATCTGTCACACTGCTGCTTCATTTCCACCTTGATATCTGAAATCAGATACACACACAGTGGTGTGTCATGGAAAGCAGTGCTGGCCCTTTTGGTGGGTATATGTGATCCTGCAGAGGAGAGAAGTTTGGTGAATACAACCAGCCGATGCATATGGGATGTTCTGAAATTAATGTATTGTGTGCATTATTTTAAGCTGAATCTTGGAAATTCTGTATGAATGTTCTAATTATTGTAGATGAAGCGTTTCCGATATAATTACAAAATGGTTCATTGCCTCCTTTCTTAGACCAGATGTTGGTTTAAAGACACCACCCCCTTCTTTTTAGACAGCTATTCACAGAAAAAAATCTTAGCAAAAACCTTTCAGAAAATATGCTGAGAAGACAGGTCCAGATTTAACCTCTAGTGTGGTGGTTTAGTCTTGTGCAGCCATCTGGCTTGGGACAGAGCTTATGCTTTTCATGCTGCTTTGAAGCAAAAGTGTCACAAAGAGAACTCTCGTAAGTAGCTGCTATGTGACAGTACATGTGTTGTAACTTGAATATCTGGAAACTCATAGAAGACAGCTCTAGCTCTTCTAAGTGTTACAGGTGTCACTTTATAAAAGACAGCTGTCACCATGGGTTTTGTACCTGAAATGTAGTTCCCTTTCAGGTATCCACAGAGCAGCAATTACCTGCATGTTTCCTCTGCTTTTTTGTTTTCTTTATTCTACTCAGCAGAAATAAAATTCTGTAGGCAAAATGTTTTTCCAAATTCTGCTCTGAATGAGCTCATCAGTGAGCTGTACAAATGTGACCAGCAGGTGCCTGTGCTCTATTTGAAGGATGGTTCATTTGAGTGAAGGGCAGAAACAAAGTAATCCTACCTCTGTCTAGGCCTGACTTCTGCACAGCTGTCTTGAGACTTAAACAGCAGTAAAATATGCTACTTATTTTTTTACATGTTTATTTTTTTCCTTAAGCACTGGATCAAAACAGCAAGGGCAAACAACACCTATGCAGTGCCTTGAGGATGAGAAGGGGACATTATTTTGCTTCAGATGACTGTGTATTATATAAAAAAAAAAAAATCACAAAAACACGGAAAAAAACCCCAAAAAAGTCAGCATTCCATAGCCTTATTTTCCCAACAACACTTTCATTTTGCTTTCACCACACCCACAGCCACAGAGTTGAGGTAATGGTCTTGACTTACTTTCCAGACCATGGACAATTCTGTTTCATGCTTGGTAACACCAGAGGGGATGGGCCGGGTCTAGATTCCAGGAGAGTGGCTGACCAGAAGCTGATTCTGGAAGCCTTAGCAGAGCAGTCCAGGGAAAGATCATACTACTAATGCAGGAAGAGCAGCAGAAACACCACCAGTCTAGGATTCTGCTTTGAAATGAGCTGGTGACTGACATAAAATCTGTGTCCCAAAGAAATACTGGCAGCATTAGAGGGAGCTTTTGGCAAAAAGCACTAGTCAATGATGGCAAGAGCTAGCAAGAAGGACTCAACCCTTAGACCTTCAAGTATAAGGTGTAGCCTCTTCCAAGCTTCTTTGTTGTCCCATGATATTCTAGGTATCATACAGTTACAGCAAGCAGCAAAACATGTTCTTTGCCACTGAAAAATAAGACAATTTTTTCTGACTTCTTGTTGCTTTATGTGGAATACAGTTTCCCATTTTGGGAAATGAATGGACAGCTGTAGAAATTGAGGCCACAGTAGCACAAAATAGCTGTTTCCATGACTACCAGTGTAGTAATCTGACGTGTTGTTACCTGATCTGATGCTTGCAGTCACTTCCAGTGTTTCAACACTACCAAATTCATATATTCAACTCGATAGTCCAGTCTATTATAATTATTCTTTCCACTCTGCACCAGGCACCTGAGACTTTTTTTCCACAAGAAATCTTGCAGCTCCACTATTGCACAAGTTTGCTGTGAAACAGAACACCCACTGCAGACTCATTTAAGAGCCTGCTCTCAGTTTTGCTTCTGCTTTCAGAGCCCTTGAAAAAACAGGTCCTTTCCTCCCCATAGCTTTGAATACCTGCTACCCAGCAGCAGTGCAAGAAGTTTGCTCAGCCTAGGGGAGTAAACTGAGTCATCCCAAATCTGCTCTGAACTTGCAGTGTGATGCAAGGTCAAGCAAGCAAGCAGCTTACCCCTGTGACTTCTTCACTGGCGACTTCATCTGCGAGGACATGTTTATGGTTGATTACTGCTTAGAGCATTGGTAAGGCACACTGAGAAGGGAGGTTTGATTTAAACCATTTTTTTCCAAAAACACATGAAAACAAAAGAAACAAAACCAAAGAAATGCCAGATTGAATGTTGTCTTAAGAGGTAAGATGAGTGCTATTATAGTGCTCTAAGAATGGGGGACTTCAACTACCCTGAAAACTGCTGTCAGGAAAACACAGCGGGACATAATAACAGTAACACAGGCAGATCCACACCTCAGGTAAGTGCTAAGTGCTCTCTGCCATAATGATGGGCACTCAGCTCAGAGGTTGATGAAGTGTTGTGGCAAGTGGCTGAATTACAAGAGACAGTTAATACACTCTGCAATATTAGAGGGACAAAGCAGAGGTAGATAAGTAGGTTCAGAACCATACACTCGCAGTGGATATCACCAAGCATGAAGCACCTTGGATGTGATGACACACAAAAGCAGGGCTCCAATTCAACCTCCACCCTCCAGACCAAAGCCAGATACAATATATCTATTAAAGGCTCTAGATGTCCATGAGCAAGGCCAACAAGGAGAACCTGCACTAGCACTGCACAGTGGTTGCTGTAAAAAGAAATGTTGAGTAAGCGTGGTGGGTGACTCTCTGTTAAGGGGCACTGGGGCACCCACCTGCTAGCCTGATACAGAGTCATGGGGAGTTTGCTGCCTCTTGGGAGCTGAGATCCGTGATGTTGTCAGGAGGGTACACCAAACTGTCAAAAGCATGGACCACTACCCACTATTACTTTTTCGTGTGGATGCAAATGACACCACAAGCCAGAAAACAGGTAGGATCAAGGAAAACCATAAAGGCCTGGTGAGGCAGATAAGAAACATTGGTGCCCAAGTTATTTTCTCGTTTTTCCTCCTGGTTAGAGGAATTGGGACAGCCTTCTCTGTTGAGAAGGTTTGGGCTTTCGTAACGATGGGTTGTGCTTTAATGATTGTAGCCTGTTAATGAGAAATGGGATCCACCTGTCTAAAAAGGGCAAGAGAATCTTTGGCAGCAGGCTGGCCAGTTTGGTGAGACAGGCTTTAAACTGAAGGACTCAGGGTTGGGGTCCAAAGTGGCAGTGCTTGTGCCATTGCTTCCCCCTGGGGAGTAGGTCATACCAACCAGTGCAGTGACAGATGTTCCTTGGCTGCCTCTCAAGCTGAGGACCAAAGGGCTAACCACATCAAGGATGTTTTTGGTCATGATGAATCCTCTTACTCCCCTTCTAGGGAACCTCATTGCTTGATCCTCTCTGAAATGCCTGTATACAAACATATGCAGCATGGGGAATAAACAAAAACTAGAAATGTGCAGTCACAGGCCATGATTTCATAGCAGCTACTGAGACGTGGTGGGATAGCTCATTACTGGAATGTTGTCATGGTTGAGTATGTACTTTTTAGAAAGGATAAGTCAGAGAGGTGAGATGATAAAGTTACTCTTTAGGTGAGAAAACAACTTGAATGTATCGAGTTCTACCCAGGGACAGATAAACCAGTTGAGAGTTTATGGGTGAGCATTGTCCAGTGTGCCCTGGTAGCCAGGAGGGTCAACCATGTCCTGGGGGCATCAGGCAAAGCATCACCAGGCAGTCGAGGGAGGGGATTGTCCCGCTCTGCTCTGACCTGGGGCAGCCTCACCTTGAATATTGTGTACAGTTTTGGGTGCCAAAATATAAGAAAGATATTAAGCCACTAGAGAATGTCCAAAGGAGGGAAATGAAGATGGTGAAGGGCCTTGAGGGGAAGCCATGTGAGGACGGGTTGAGGTCACCTCACTGTGAGGAAGAAGTTCTTTACATCGAGGGTGGCAGAGCACGGGAACAGGCTGCCCAGGGAGGTCATGGAGTCTCCCTCTCTGAAGACATTCAAAACCCACCTGCTCTAGGTGACCCTGCCTTGGCAGGGGGGGAAGACTAGATGATCTCCAGAGGTCCCTTCCAACCCTAAAAAATCTGTGATAATCAGTCCAGGAGATTCATAGAGTGCATCAATGAGAACTTCCTGATCCAAGTGATAGAGGAACCAACGAGGAGTGGTGCTCTGTTGGACCTCATACTCAAAAACAAAGGGCTTGTTGGGATTGTCAAGATCAAAGGTAGCCTTGGCTGCAATGACCATGAGATGGTGGGGTTCAGGATCCTGAGACAAAGGAAGAGGATAGAATGCAAGTTCTCAGCTTTGGACTTCAGGAGAGCAGACTTTGGTCTCTCTGAAGATCTACTTTGGAAGTACCCTGAGGGATAAGGCTCTGGAGTGAAGAAGGGTCCAAGAAAGCTGGTTAATATTCAAGGTTCACCTCTCATAGGCTCAAGAGCAGTCCCTTCCAGTGAACAGGAAGTGAGGCAAAAATGGCAGGAGGTCTGTGTGGATGCACAAGGAACTCCTGGCTACACA